GAATGTATCGTTTGTTTTCTCCCGTTTTAAATTCAGCTTAAGATCACAGTAGTGTTCTTTCACAAGGGATTATGCCCATGGAATCGGGGCAAGCGGCTCTTTGGGAAAACTCTTTGGCCTTCAGCTCATTGACGTTTTTTCTGTGTCTGGAGCCTTGCACTTAGCGACTTAAAATGTTTGGACAGCGTGATCGTTGTGAGAGTTTGGGACAGGAAACGCCATGACGCCGCACTTCCAACTCCATGCAAAATGCAGCTGTGGATTATGCTTTGCTTTTTAGCTCCAGCGATAGCAGGCATAAATGAGATCTGAATGTGTATACTTCTAAAAAGAAGGCAATGGCGGCTCGGAATTTTCATTTAATGCTAGAGGTGCTCTTAAATGTGTTTTTCTAACGCATTCAGCACAGTAAAGCGAGTAATTAGGATTTTATTCCTGAAATATACCAGCTTTACAATTGAGAGCACCAAGCCTCTGATAACAGAGACTCTGATTTATCAAAACTTAGTCCCGGGAAAGAGGAAACCTTTGACCGAAAGCCATTATGACAGGAGACGCCGCATTGAATGAGTTACATACAAATCATTCGAGAGTTTCTGGCTTCATAAATACTTTACTTAATTTTCTGAGAGTTTCTGGCTCCTTAATACTTTACCTTCAACACGATTCTACATTACGATTAGCGAAACTTCAGTGACCACATAGGTGATGCTAGAGTCGTTGAACACTTGATCATTAAAGACCTAGCTCACCAAGTCACTTCAACCCGTGGAGATTAATCTCTTGGCGATTAAAGCCCGAGTTTATCACACCGCTACAACCCGTGGCGATTAAATTCTGGGTGATTAAAGCCCGTATTCCCCCCTCCACTTCAACCCGTGGAGATGAGACATTTGGTGATTAAAGCCCGTGTTCACCACGTCACATCTGCCCGTGTAAATGAAACATTTGGTGATTAAAGCCCGTGTTCACCACGTCACTTCAGCCATTGTAGATGAAACATTTGGTGATTAAAGTCCGTGTTCACCACACCACTTCAACTAGTAGAGATCAAGCGCTCGTGGACAAAAGTCGATATTGACGGAATCGCGAGCTTAGCTTACTATGTTCCCCTGTCAGAAATGTCAGCCTTTGTTCTTTCCTGACTTCGATACCGGCTTGTCCTCTCCAACGGAAATCCGATAATGGGACGCAATGGGATGGAGAGACTCGCAGATATTTGTTTAATTAAAGGAGGTTTGTTATCTATTACGTTCTACGTTCAGACTTTCATTTTACCGATCTTAAGTTCATATTTATCGTTATAAATTCTAATCCATGTCATATGTTTTTGAATGATAGCATTTTATGCTTAGTATAATCAACTTCAAGTGGATTGCTAATACGTGCCGTATTTCCTGTTATTGTACTATTTATTGATTAAAAAACTAATTACCGGAAAACGTAAAAGTATTAAAGCGTTTTAAATCAAATGAAACTATACAAGTTTTCGATTCGTGATCGGAAAACTGTCAGAAAGGATGTGTTATCATGCATTGCTATGATTTTATGTATAATTCAGCCGTCATCATTTTTTATACAATTTAATGATTCCTGTTTACAAGCGGCTTTTTCGCCCTCCTAATAGGCTGTAAATATTCAAGATTTAAATGGAAATATTTGTTCATGAGTAAAACTATGTTTATGTTCATATTTCGCAGTTATCGTAAAAGCACCACTATTCCTCAGCTTCATCAGTAAGCTATTCCCCAATAATCGTTCAACGATCGTATCCCCAAATTTTCTTAGCAATAATCCCCAGCTCTCACGCAGATTGAGGAAGATTGAGACGAGAGAAACAAAACGATTCTTATACTTTATCATATGTCACATTTTTTATTTGTTATGCAATCCTAACTCTGAATTTCAAATCTGAAAAGAATTTAATGATTTCATGTAAATAGGCTTTCATTTGATCGAGAACATTAATGGAATAACAGCAACTTCATCAGTTCAAAATTTCAGGAATTAAATCAAACGTAGACGGCCAAATTTACACCGAAGAGATTAAAACCTAAATAGAAAGGTTAACTATTACAACTGCAAAATAATTACCAGATAAAAATTTACTTGACATATTATTCGCGATTAATGTTAGTGTTATTTCATGACTTGAGCTATTAATTACGAGTTTATAAACCCTGGTCCTTATTTTGGTCTCAGAAGTCACGAAATAAAAAAAAATCCCCTAATCCGCCTCCGCTTATTAATTCTTTTAAATGGACACTATGCCAGTTTTAAATTGCGTTTTCCATAATCGGTGTTTGTTTATGGAATTTTATGGAATTTCAGTAGAAATTTAAATGGAATCCTTTGATGTGTGCGCAGCTATACATCTCGCGGGGCTGTAGGATTTATGGTGTTGTTTTTCATATGTTCATGTTTATATTTTATGGCTTTTTTGTGTATTAACATGGACACATGTTAGCAAAATGCCACTTAATTAATGTGTATTAACATACACACATTAAGACAACATAAGCTACATTATTCTGAACAAAGTACATGTGTGCTACTAGGATGGTAGAAGAGTTTATACATTGACATTTAAAGCAGAATACTACTTAATAAAAAATTTCTTGATTTTGCGTATTTAAACTTCTTATTTGCTGGCATTTAGCGCTCTAGGGGTTACGCAACAGAGGTAATTTATGATTAAACGTCCTTGGACACTTCAAGTCAAACTTAAAGGACTCGGTGTTCTTAATTCGGTTAAAAGCCGTACGATGAAGGCAGTGGAGAGCAACATTCTTCCATTATCGTTGTTAAAATTTCAGAGCAAAACTCCGCTAAGGTATGTTACCTCTAACTTGTTGACAGTTTGTTATGAAAATATTTCTACGAAAAAGTTATGTTTTCTATTACATAAAATATCATTATGTTATTTCATGATGCATTACGTGCACTAGAAACGTCTTATATTCCATTTTAATTTATGATTAATTTTCTTTTCATATATAATAATGCTAGAACATTTCTGCAAGAATTAATCCTGAAGGGAATTTACTAGCATTACTTAATACATCAAAGACGGAGCACTCACATAAGCAGGCTGATCGTATCCGCGGTTCTGCATGAACGCGGAGTGCAACTGGCCACGCTAAGCCGATCCGGACAGACGGAGCGTCATTTTCTAAAGGAAATAATCCCCTTGCGTGACGGAGGGTTCCATCATAAGAAGACGCCTTATACTCATGTCTGAGGGATTCCTGCGACCTGCCTTGAGACCAGAGTCAAATCATAGGTGGAAGGCTGGTGAATAGGGGCTCATTAATTCATAGGGAAGGAGCCAAATGAAAGGCTCTCTTTGAAATCGAAGGTGTTTTTCCCCAGCTCAGAAATCCAAGGACTGATGTTTTTTTTAATTGAATTGGTGGATCCAAGGACTGAACTTTAGCGATACACGTGTTGTGAGAAGGCAACGTTTGCGTTAGAAAATTGAGAGCAGTTCTGTCGATACGATTGACTTGTTTTTATTGTTAAGGTTTGGGGTGATAAAGATTATTTCGAATAATAGCGATGATCAAAATATCAATTGATGATTTCAAGAAAGGATATGAATTCTGAAAAATCTACAAAAGTCCATCAATATGGAATTTTTTTTAATTTCGTTTTCATATTACGAGTATATTATATTGCATATTATATTACATTATATTAAATTAGGCGCAATATAGCTGTTCTCATGATACCAGCCAACCTAACACGATCCGGCAGCCCGAGTGTCAGGTTATCTCTAGACTTCGACCATCATATTCTCTTTAATTGCCCTGATGAAATGCAACAAAAAATAGGGGTATAAATCTGCTACTAATACAAGGACTTCTAAAGTTTATGGCTCTTTGATTTGCTACTGTTTCAGATATGCTTTTATTTTATCACATTTAATTTTAGCTTCCAATCTAAATTGGTATATAACGCAGCAAGCAATCATGTAAGGTGCAAGTATTAGAAACAACTATAAAAAAATATAATATTAAGATAAGTGTTGAATTTCTGCACGCGGTGACTCTGGAGTATAGGTTTTTCTCAGGGAAAACAGATTCTTCGAGCTACAAACATACTTGTTTTTGTTTAATTAAAATAAAGATTTTGTAAAATAACACGATACATAAAAATAATATTTTGTAAATATCGATTTTGTAAGAAAGTGAAATGTTCAAGTCTACCGGACCACAATATGACGTTCCTCTTTGTTTAGAAACTTCATCGAAGATATGAAAAAAGCTATACATGGACAAGTCTTCAAAGCTCCAATAATCACCAGATCTAAAGAAGTTGACTAAAAATTTAAAAGCAAAGAATAGTCCAAAAAAATCATATCTTTATTGAAAAAGTTTTCTATAAAGATCTGAATTTTTGTGGACTATTCTTTGCTTTTAAATTTTTTGTTAACTCGCGATTTAAGCAAACAAGTGACATCAATTCTAAAAAGTTGTAGTTGTAAAAGTTGTTTTCGTTCAAATTCCAAAATTTGTACTTTCTATTATGTTTCATGCGACTGAAGATAGTTTTGACTGCAAGATATTACTGAACCATTTTTTATAAAAATGTTGTGATTTGTCAGTCTTAACATGTGCCTTGAATACCAGGACCGAAAATTTGACTTCTCCGATTTAGACTCCTGGTGAAACGCAGAAAGAAAAAATAACGAATTTCTGAGTATCTTAGAAAAATAAATATGTCATAATGCCTAAATATTGATTCCCTCGCTTTTACCTACAGCACGAGTTGAGAGAATACGTAGCACTGATACGTTCTTTTGCTCCACCAAACTGGGTCAGGACGACCCACAATAGGACCAAAAGTGTATCGCTTTAGCTGTAACACAGTTCTCTGTTACAATATTAACCCGACTGAAAACACAGAAAAGGTGGATAATTAATGTATCATAATGCTGTATGTGTTAATTACACAGTTTAATTACTTAAAACCACTAAATTTTTCCTTTTATATTTCAGTTCCTCCTCGCAGCGCCAGCGTTGTGCAGGCGAGCGGGTCGGCAGTCGCGTCAGGGGTGGTTGGCCCCCACAGGGAAGGTGACATCGTGGCGCTCCGTTGCGAGGTTCATGGTGGTGAGTATTGCATGCACTTACCATTTGTATCGCTTACTTGAGACCATTGTTTTGTATCAAAAATAGTTAGGCGTTCTTATTTCCGTTGGCCAATCACTGACAGCTATTCGAGCTAAACACACCAATTATCACTGTCGAACAATCAACCGGTAAATGTACGTCAGCAAATTTTGCTAATAAAGCCCCATTTTTGGAGACTGAAGAGCCGTACATACAAGAATCGGTTGAGTGCATGTAGCGTCCTAGGTACACGTAGCAGCCCAGGCACATGTAACGTAGCAGCCCAGGCAAATGTAGCGGCCTAGGTACATGTAGCAGCCCAGGCACATGTAGCGGCCTAGGTACATGTAGCAGCCCAGGCACATGTAGCGGCCTAGGCACACGTAGCAGCTCAGGCACATGTAGCGGCCTTGTTACACGTAGCAGCCCAGGCACATGTAGCGACCTAGGTACACGTAGCAGCCCAGGCACATGTAGCGGCCTAGGTACACGTAGCAGCCCATGCACTTGTAGCGCCCGCTTACTTGTCTACGATTGAATTGGTGGGTTTAGCTTTAAATGCCTCAGTGATTCCAGTGATTGGCTAGCGGAGATACAAACAAACACGTACCTGTTATGGACTGTATGGCTTCAGGGGGGCGGATAGAAATACTCTGGAGGTAATTTTGTAATTTTTGCGCTGCAATGAGATTGAAGCAACAAAAGGATAGTAATTAATATGAGAAAGTTTCTTCATCATTTGGATTGAGCTTGCTATACTGTACATATATGGGTGAAATTTTTTGGAGCCCAAGATTCCATCAAGATAAAAAGGTAATAGATTAAAAAATTTGGATAACCAGTGCTTCAAACAATCTCATATCTTGCGCTTGCAAAATTCACAATTTCACCGAGGATTCATCTGCAAGCAATGAGTTGGAAAGTTTTTTTATACTCTTAATCTAATGACACACATGGATAAAAATTCCATTAATCTCACCATCGATTAATCGCATCTTCATTGCGGACCTATGTATTTAACTATAGATCCCGCGAAGAGGAAATCATATATAAAATCGTTTCCTTATTAATCACATCTCTTATTACAGAAATCATTGGAGACGCCAATCAATTACTGAATAAAAACACTATGCTTCTTGTCGATGCTCGTACAGAAGAACAAATAAATGTTCGATCTTTCCTCCAGTGAGTCACGTAGTCCCCGAGTGAGTAAATAAGTACATTATTGAACACGTCACTCCGGCCTAACGCAATTGACTGAAGTCTTGGGAGTCGAACGCCTCTTACAACCCAGCCTCGCACAACGTCGAACGCTCGAATACGGAAGCCACTTCGTGTCTCTGGATTCTTGACTTTCCGCTGAAAATTGAATTTAGAGTTCGCGTGTCTTCAAGGCGACATCTTGATGTGCCTTGTCTATGTCGTAAACATTTTCCGGATTCCCTTGGACAAAATTCTAGCATTCGAGCGAAATCGCGTGGAAACAAGAATAAGTGAAACATGAATTGACTCAATGGTGTAATAAAATACTAAACGCTGAATAAAAATTATTATCAATCTTAGAGTTCATGAGTGAGACTCTAGAGTTTTGAAATACTAAAAATGAATTTAATTCACGTTTTCTTTACTACTGACGGTGTACCATATTTGTTCTGGTTGGCAATTGCTGTGGCGTCTGATGACATAATGATTTAGTTGAATTTTCTAGGTCTCAAATCTTATTGTAATCTATTACGATTTAGATGCAATCGTATAAGTTTTATTATTCTTAATGACTTGCTGAGTAGGAAGAAAATTTATATTCCTTTCATTCAATAACTATCCGGGTTCGAGCAGCCCCTTATTTATTTCCTGTGATGCGAAGCACGTAGAACAAATCGAATATTATATCTAGTGTCACATTACCCCAACATTTGGCTCGTATTTTGATATTAGCATCGTATCGAGCTAGCGTGTGGAGTTGGTCTGCCGACGCCTGTAGCATATTGATGCCGCATCACTTTTCAAAGTACCGGAATTTCCATACGATTATGCACCGTATGGAACCGGGATGAAACCAACCCGGTCATATCAACTCGATGCTATACGAGGCATATTTTGTTCTCACTTTGAACATTGAAATTTTCTGAAGCGCAAGTACAGCCTTTCAACGCACACAGAATGTAAATTGATACGTAAATGACTGGTAAATTGCATGGAAATTTAGAGTTTAGGGTATGAATTTTAGGATTATCAATCTTGATGCATAAATGCGATGGTATTGATCCATTAAATTAATACACTCTGTTACAATGTTCGCAGGTCAAAACTTTATAATTTTAGAACATTAATACAGAAACTACTAACCCACAGCGAAGAATTTCGGAATGGAGCCAAAAAACTCGGTGACTACAAGCCGATTTGCTCCTGGGTGAAGATGGACTGGCAGAGTGATCGATGAGGGAGAGAAAGTGCTGGACTTTGCAGTCAAATAGAAAACGGTTCTCGAGAACGGAAGAAAACTATGAGCAGGAGAAAAGGCTGGATCACGCAACATATGAAAAAAAAATAGTCGCGTGTATGAGAGAAAACTGTGAAAAGAATAATTGGCTTGATTCTGCAATGGAAATGGAAAATTGATGCGAGAGTGAGAGCAATCAGTCCGTATTCCGTAGCGAAGTCCATGTTTAAGGACATATTCTTCCAATTCATGAGTTGTAATTCAAATTGTTCCTATGTACAAACGGTCTTGAACATGACCCCACTGCATGTGCTTCACGGTTACATCAAACGTTTGAACTCCCCTGACTTGAACAACAACAGGCAACAACATGTCACTGGTCTCGCCTCCCTAAAACTATATGATGGTGATCAAAAATATACAGAGTATTTGAGCAACAAACATAAGCGAGGATTTCAATTTTATGTCTCTATAGGAAGTTATTAATTTAAGGTAGAATTATTACGTCTTTTGTACTATATTTTTGCATTTTTTCTCAGTGTTTTTTTCACCTGTCTCACATTAGCCTTGTACTTAGATAGGATTTAGAAACATTTCTTTTTCATTGACTTATAATGTAAATAATTCGTTCATGCCAATCTTTCCTGTAATGTTAGATTTACCATTTTTATAGTTAGCAGATTTTTCGCTGGCAGACAGAGTTGTACTCTGTCAGCTGCAGAATGATCCGAGATTCAGTACGCGCGAGTTGAGGCTTCGTCTTCGGAGCTGGGAGGCTTGCAGGGTCCCATCATGCTACTCTTGTCATGATATCTCTTGTTGAACTTGCGACTCTGAATCTAAATATTGTGACTCTGAATCTAAATATTGTGACTCTGAATCTAAAAAAGACTCTTTAATTGTTCCTAGTGTAAAAATACTGAACAAAACCAGAACAAGAGACCCGAGAACATTATCATCAAATTCGTAGTACCTATGAAGCGCAGTGGTGGAAGTCATTAACCTCATTTTCTAATACAGGCTGGCGACATTGGTGTCGGGAGAGTTTGTCGATAAAGATGGAAATTAAAATCGATAAACAAAATCAAATTTTACGCTGTGAATTTCTATTGCTGTTCATTCTCGATACAAATTTTTATTTCGTCAAATTAGGTCATCATGAAATGCAAGTGATTTGTACCTAAGGAAATCTCGTTTTTAGAATTCAGATACTTCTCACCACGATGGTAACGTAAAGATATGCGGAATACTCACTTAACTCAACTGCATGCATTACAAACTTGTTCTTTTTAGCGCATTTTCTCATTTATGGACAAAAGGCGCTATTGTGCTCGTCATGTCCGTCCGTCTGTCCGTCTGTATGTCCGTCTGTCCGTCCGTGACCACGTTTTCGTCGACGAGAAAATGCGCTCGCTGTCACTCACTGCAGTGAGTACTGAGTTATATATTTTAATTAATGCAAACATTAACTTACCCGTCATCTTGTCACGTTTTTCTTCCGTCAACAAGTATGCCCCCGTCAACTCGCCCGCTTCTCTTCAGTCAACACTAACGCCCTGTCAACTCGCCCGCTTCTCTTCAGTCAACACTAACACCCCGTCAACTCGTCCGCTTATCTTCAGTCAACACTAACACCCCGTCAACTCGCTCGCTTCTCTTCAGTCAACACTAACGCCCAGTCAACTCGCCCGCTTCTCTTCAGTCAACGCTAACTCTGTCAACTCGCCCGCTTCCCTTCAGTCAACACTAACACCCTGTCAACTTGCCACGCTTCTCTTCAGTCAACACTAACGCCCCGTCAACTTACCCGCTTTTCTTCAGTNATACGAATGTGGTATCTTGATTCGTGCTAAAATAGTTTGTTGCTGCAGTCCTAGAAATGACCTTGTTCAATGCTATTTCTGCATAGTATTGTAGCTGTCTCTTATACACATCTAGATGTGTATAAGAGACAGGCATAGACATGACGCGCGAGTTAAAGGTTGTATAGACAAGACGCGTGAGTTAAATGTTATATAGACATGACGCGTGAGTTACGGGGGCAGCATAGACATGACACGTGAGTTACTGGCGCATAGACATGACGCGTGAGTTAAAGGTTATATAGACATGACGCGTGAGTTACGGGCAGCATAGACATGACGCGCGAGTTAAAGGTTGTATAGACATGACGCGTGAGTTAAAGGTTGTATAGACATGACGCGTGAGTTACGGGTAGCATAGACATGACGCGTGTGTTGGGCTCAGCATAGACATGACGCGAGGTGAAGAAAAATTATGACTCAAAAATAGATTCTAATAGCTCTAGTATAACGAAATTAGGATAATAAGTAGATAATATAATCACGTATGTTTTGTGTCTTAAGATTTGAGATTTGATGTAGTGTGAGTGAATGAGTTACGTTCACATTCAGCACACGAGTCTACGTGAACATGGCGCTTCAGTTACAATTTTAGGCTCGAGTAACTCATCTAAAAAATTTGCATAGTAAGATAAAACAAGTTTGGGAAGTTTGGAAACTTTACGGAATCTTCCATCCATGGTATATTTCATCACAGTGTTGACAGTCCCGCTTCGGTGATCCCTGTGAGTGACGGCGAACGCTTCCCGGAAGATCTTCTCGAGTTGTTAGCTCGAAGCAAACTTTCCGGCGCTCAGTTCCTCAGTTCCGACGCTCAATTCCCAAGTCCCGGAGCTCAGTTCCTTGTTTCATTTTCAGTGCGCATTTTTCGGCGCTCAGTTCCGGAAGTCCGGTTCATAAGTTCTGTAGCTCAGTTATTCACTTCCGGAGCTCAATTTCTCAGTTCCGCCGAAACTCAGTTATTCACTTTCGGAGCTCAGTTATTCACTTTCGGAGCTCAATTTCTCAGTTTTGGCGCTCAATTATTCACTTCCGGAGCTCAGTTATTCACTTTCGGAACTGAATTTTTCAGTTCAGGAGCTCAGTTCCTCACTTATGGAGCTCTGTCCCGGAGCTCAGTTCAGGAATTAATGACTCTGTCGGGTTACCAGTCGGAGAACAACACTACCCAGCGCTGCATAGACTGACATGACATGACTGACACTCTCTTCTTGTAATTACGGTGCTTCCAACAATAATGATCAATCAGGTTATCGGCTTCAAACCAAGCAAGCCAAAACACTGTTTTTTTTAACTAGACCAACCAGCCCCCAGCAAAGAAGCCGAGAATGGCATGGCCCTGTATCGTCCGCCTGACATGAAATAATTTTGCATCGATGCATAAATGCTCGTATGAGTGCAGTATTCTTCCTTTTTTTCATCGTATCAGCCACCGGTCGAGCAGCCAAAATCAATCGCCAAAGCAAGATTAATTTGGAACCAAACTTTATTAACTTAAACCTAACCTCACATGCTGCTAGCTAAAATTCACCTAATTTAGCGATGGTACGGAAGTTATACTTGATCCGCGACGTGGTGATGCTTGACATGCTTCATGCAAATTATAAGGAGAACTAATCTGGTTAGTTGCAGTAAGTCGTACGCTCGTTCGAGAGCTGGCATGGATATGGAGTTATTCTTCAATGAAACGTTTAGTGGTGGACAGCCATTACACTCTAAGACTATTAGCACTCGTATTTGGGAATTTAAAGCTCACAATATTTAAAACAAGATGATGTTGAGGCCTAAATATTAAAGACAGACTTTTGCTGTGGCTGATTGTCGGCATTACGGAAAGAAGCGATGCTTTTAATTTTGGGATGATTGGTGTCGGTGGTCCAAGGCTGCACTACCACCCTGACTGACGAGATCTCATGAGAGTTCAGAAATCGGGACAGCTCAGTTCAGGATTTAATTCCACATTTCAACCTGCAGCAGGTGTTAATGATTAACAACATAGTGTTGTTCTCTGATACTTGATCTTAATGTCGGGTCCAATGAATTGTAGGATTATAATCGAGTCCATCGTGTTGCAGTCTGTTGTGTTCTAATTCTATAAATTATATTAGAATATTATACTGTGGAGTGCTTTTGAGTTCAAATAGTGTTAGTTTTATTACACTAGAGTCCAGCGAACTCGAGACTGCAGTTGACATGACGGAAGAACATAAGACGTTTTGCTACCACAGTGCACTTCAAAACTAAGCTGAGTTGAGAGCTCAAAAAGTTTCTGATACGTTGTTTTTAACTTAGATATAAGTGAATTTAGTTTTTTTATCCTGCAGAATGACCTAATATTTGTAATTATTAATTTCTTCCCCTAAGAATTCATTTCTACACTGAGTGTCTGGTCATTCGCGTTCGCATTTTTCATTAATGCGGTTAATTCTCAATTGAATTTAAATTCTCATAAGGACCCAAGGCCTTATAAAAAAAATTTCACAAGGATCCAAACAGGCCTATTGACCATAATTTTATATTCCGAACATTTCAGTTCCCCCGGTGACCGGTCGACTATCGGGCCTGGAGTCCCCCCTCCAGGAGGGGGTGGTGCGGGAGGTGGTGTGTGAGGGGGCGGGCTCCCGCCCCCCCGCCTCCATAACCTGGCGCTGGAATGATGCCCCCATGGAGCATTCGCCGCACCAAGATATTCGAATTTCGTACAAGGTCAGAAATCAATTTAATTTGCTATTATTATGGCATATTCCAATATGTAATTAGAATGAGATATTTCATTCTTAATTAAAATGAGCCATTCTTATTTGTAATATGAATAAAATGTTTAATTTGTAAATAAAATGAGACTTTTTAATTGAAATTCGAAGTACACTATTTTCGTTTGTTATACGAATGTGGTATCTTGATTCGTGCTAAAATAGTTTGTTGCTGCAGTCCTAGAAATGACCTTGTTCAATGCTATTTCTGCATAGTATTGTAGTGAAGCTAGAGAAACTAGATTGGCTAAATAATTCCATATTGCTTTCGCCTAAATTCAACTCACATCGCCCTCATCTATTCTTTTGTTAAGGTCTTCAAATTATATATAAAATGAAAATTAAAATGTGTTATTTTAAGCCAATTCGCTTAATTTAAATTTAAATTCGGAAAAAATATTTCTGTATATATTTGGATACGTTCAGGTTGAACCACTGGACTGGGTATAACATGAACCGACACAGGCGAGCTCTCGTCACCTCACAACTTCCATAATTGAAGCAGTTTTGTGCGCCGCTGCGATGCAAAGCGGCGCACAAAACACCGCGACTCTAAAGCCAAGCAAAGGAAAAACTTTTCTTATTTTAGGACTGAATCTCCCTGCCCATTGTAGTTCCACAGGAGCACCACTCAGATAAATTGAGGTGCCATATTGTCCAAATCTTAATGCGAATTCCTAGCCACAGCACCAATAAAATGTGGACGTAGAAGTGATGCGTCCCTTTACTGAGTCAAACTTTGTCATGTTGACCCACATAAGCAAAAAGTTAATCCCTATGTGGACAAAAACGCACGCATTTCTCTGAATGAAATACAATTTTTGCTATATCTGCTTCCATCACTCCAGTTTATGAACTAAAATACATTCGCCGAATGTACTTAAGTCCGCTAATCGAGACCTCCAACCTTGCACTGAATGAGAGACGAGTTATCTTGCTGCAAAGTCCCAAAGTCCCAAAGCCAACAAGTCCCAAGCATCATCATGATCGTGCACATATTCCGACCCGTGAAAGTCCTTCAGCCCAACAGTTATTATTGTCTCAAAGAGGAAGTAAAAAAAATAACAATGTCTAATCAAAGCTTCAAGATCAAAACTCGGAAATTTTTGTTCATTATTTGAAGTTTCCTGTTGATCAAACTAAAACTAATTAATAGAATGTTTAGAATCGTTGCCTGATTTACACAAGGATGCGATTTATCCAACGAATTCAGTATGGAAATTGCGAGATCTATTGGCAATAATATTGAGTGAATAATATTCCTTACGCTAAAAACAAGACACGCAACTTCGTCATGACTCAGGACAACGCATCGACAATCACGCACCAGTGAGATCCACCTAAATTTTAGGACGTTATCACATTACACAATTATTAAGAGTTCATATTATAATATGAGCAAATGTAGACAATATGAGTGCAGTCCAGTCTCTGGTGTATCTCGCAAAGCCTTCGTCACTGTAACTAATAATAATTAAACGGCACCTATATGGGCATTCGGAAGCATTTATAACGATCAACAGAGGAAAGGTTGTTTTCGTTTCATAAAAACGATCAAATACTCGGTCATTTATGAAAATACTCCTGAGCTCGCTACTTGAAAACTCCTCAGTTTCATATAATTCAGTTTTACTTCTATTTAGGAGCTTTGTTTCTTTATTCTTATAATGATCAAAACTCAGTTTAATGCATAGAATCGGGAGCCGATTCGTTGGAAGCGTTCTCAATTAGACGAAATTTTTGTTCTTTCGGTGACATAGAGAGGAAAACTTTCATTTTCAGTTCTTCTTCGTATTTATCGCGATAGATTTTTACTTCAACTTATGAAATGCAATTCTGATATAAGGAATTAAATAAATTTTAAATTTTCTCTTCAGAATTTCGCCGATGGAAATGTGAGTCAATCGATTTTGACGATCGTACCTAAGAAGTCAGACGAAGGAGCGAAGGTGTCGTGCAGAGTTGACAACGCCCGACTTCCTCTCTCTACGATAGAGGATCACGGCACCATCACCGTGCACTGTAAGAGTCATTCCTGTTTCCTTTGTATAGAGTTTAGTGAACGCTATGATGATGTTAGCGTGCACACACCGTCACATGATGATATGATGATGTTAGCGTGCACACACCGTCACATGATGATATGATGATGTTAGCGTATGTTCCGTCACATCTTGTGGGTGTGTAGAATACTTATAACAATTGACAACAACTCTACTCGTGCATCACAATGTATTACATTAATGCGGATAACAATTGACAACAACTCTACTCGTGCATCACAATGTATTACATTAATACGGATAACAATTGACAACAACTCTACTCGTGCATCACAATGTATTACATTCAAACGGATAACAATTGAATACACCTCTACTCGAGCATCACAATGTATTCCATTAATACGGATAACAATTGACAACAACTCTACTCGTGCATCACAATGTATTCCATTAATACAGATAACAAATATAACACCTCTACTAGAGCATCACAATGTATTCCATTAATACAGATAACAAATGATAACACCTCTACTCGAGCATCACAATGTATTCCATTAATACAGATAACAAATGATAACACCTCTACTAGAGCATCACAATGTATTCCATTAATACAGATAACAAATGATAACACCTCTACTCGTGCATCACAATGTATTCCATTAATACAGATAACAAATGATAACACCTCTACTCGAGCATCACAATGTATTTTCTTAACTGATCTCGAACAACAAAACATAACTAATGATTCCACTCGAGCGCTCCTTATGTCCGCAATAACGGTCCACTTCGAATTGCGATCTTCCAGCATCACTAACCTAGCCACATTTTCTGATATGTCATCATAGCAATTTTAAGCATTTTAATATTTTTAATAGTTTGAATTTATTGTATAATTTCAATAAAATCGTTGAATTGAAAACGATAGAATTAAATTATTCTCGATTTTTGAAAAATTAACGTGTAATGTAATTACTGTCAAGAAATACCAATTTCGATAAATAATTTGTTCGCGGTCTTGTTTTCACTACCACATACAATCAGAATTCTCCAAACCACAGAATATTTAACAAAATTAAAGATAATTCTTCTATCCGGATCAACCATGGAGAAGCGATATGATCGTTCAGTTTGTTTCCTTTCATGAATCTCCCTTGACCTTAAATTCAAATTGAAACCTTCAATATTTACCCCGAAACTGTCCAACGCGGAGGAATGTCAAAGTTGCTTTGCGCAGCCGTTGGGAAAATATCGCTGACTTTATTTTATATTTTAACTTATTTTATTCCAGTATTTCGTGTGCCTTCAAAAGCAGAAGAATATTTCTGACGAACGTCCATTTTATTTCATGTAGATCAGAGCAGTTGCGTCCCTTCACAGGAGTTCAGTTTAGTTGCCCATACAAAAATGTTAAATTTAGTCTTTCTGCTGCATTATATTTATTTTAGGGTAATTTCTTTCTCATTTTAGGGTAGTCTCAGTCTGGTTGCCCAATAATTTCATAAGAGCTGCGTAAAAATCTAGCAGTCCAGGGAAATATCGTCAACCTCGATAAGAATAACGTTGTCAACGTGAGATTTTTGCTGTAGCGTTAGCTGCAGTCTCTCAAAGTCTAGAGTTTTTTTTACTAGAAGTTGGGAGATTCATGGAATTGGGAAAAAGGGGAATAGGATAAAAGGGGAAAAAGGTTTCATAGAATAAAACTTAGTTATATTTAATACAAGAGAACAGTTAGCGATGAATTTATTATCACAATTGATTACTGAAAGGACGAAAAATTATAAATAGATTTGTTATTCCCGTTTATCATGATATTCCACACAAAGCCTTTTCTACAATTATGCGCTTATGACAATTTTTCTTTGTAAATGGTAGTTAATGTATTGTCATGAATGTTATAATCTTGAACTAATAATCTCGTGATATGCAATTTTTGCATATTATACATACGGTGAAACTTAGTTTTGCCCCGCAAAAAGACAACGTTATAGGCATGAGATAGTTAATGGTTTCGGTTTTTACGCTATAAATGTTGAAGTGTGACACGGGTATATATTGAATATTGATTTAAGCTCAAATCAATTACTTCAAGCGTGAAACTTATTCCAATATATAAACATAATATGTTTTGCAAAACTTATTTCATGAAAAATAATATTTCATTCAAAGCTATGAAAAAGCTAACCAAAACTAATAATTTTTTGTAAACAAATAAGTTTTGGTAGAAATTCCAGATCTCTTCCATATAAGGACCACGACTCGCATTGATTAAAGTCAATAACTCTATTAACAAATTCTGGCTTTCAACTTTCCTTTGTCACGGTCGAATAACATTTTATTCTGGAATATTACTATTATTGCACTGCAATAACAAGAGAACGTTCTTAATTAGTTAATTAAGTTAATTTAGTTAATTAATTCGTCAAAATTTCCATAATTTTTCAGTGAGGTTTAGTCAATTGAATTAATCCTATAGCGACTTGGTGTGATTAATTATATTTCATTGTCACTTCTTCATTAATAAAGAGTTCATAAATTAACCGAATTATTTGTTAGTTATGTCAATACAGAATGTTTTTGAGGACTAATGCTATTTTTTAGGACGATTTTTAATCATTTTCTAAGGTCTTGCGCTCCATTTTAATGACTTTTAATCATATTTAAGGTCTTGCGCTTATTTTAGCTTCTTTTAATAATATTCTGAGGTCTTGCGCTCTATTTTAAGGACTTTTAATCCTATTTAAGGTATTGCGCTTATTTTAGCTTCTTTTAATAATATTCTGAGGTCTTGCGCTCTATTTTAAGGACTTTTAATCCTATTTAAGGTATTGCGCTTTATTTCAACGACTTTTAATCATATTCTAAGGTCTTGCGCTCTATTAAATTTGAAGTCATGCAGTGTCACTGAATTCCGTTGGAAATTCAGAGGTGTTTCTCGCTTGAGAACTGCGCTGAGAAAATATTATTTGTCGCCGGCAGATGTTCCTCAGCTGCAGGTGGAGGCTGGACAAAACATGGACTTGACTGACATCAAAGAAGGAGCGGATGTCTACTTCGAATGTTCTATTCAAGCGAACCCTGTCACTGACAGATTGACATGGCTCCACAATGTGAGTTTTTGTGAAAATTATTACCTTTAAATAATTTTGGCATTCATTTCGATGTTATCAGAAATTTCTTCCATTCTTGAAATTATATTATATTAAATTATATTATATTATAACAGATTTCTATGGTTATTAATTCACAAATGAATAAATTAGTTTCGTATTAAGGATATATTTTTTACTAGTCAAATTTTGGTCCTTAACCACGTAATCGTTGAGATAAGTTTTAGAATATATATGCAATATTCATGAAAAGAAAAAAAGCCGAGTGTAGGTCACGGGCATTAATTTTTTTTAAATGTCACGGGCATTAATTTTTTAATTCCCGCCTACGCCAAGCGTACGCCTTTCGAAAAGTCACGGGCGTTCATTCTTTAATTCTCACGCCTGCCTTGCGTAAGTCTCCCGAAATGTCACGGTATTAATTATTTAATTCCCGCGTACGCCTCCCGACTTGTCACGGGCATTCGTTCTTTAATTCATGCGTCCTTTGAGGTTAGATTTCTTACGGAGATCTCCTAATGGAGAAATTCTGGTGGTCGAATGTCGATTCCTTGTCCTTGAAGTGAAAAATAAATTGTGTTTCTGTGTTCGCTGATAGGCCAGGCCGGCTGTGCTGAATAGACGAGCCTGATGAGTCTGATAAGAGTTTTAATGGAGTCCGGACCTGAATAATTCAAAGAACTTTCTGAAAGGATCAAAATTTCAAACTTTAGATTAAACGTTTTATATTATCGCACTATGTCTATATTATATATTTTCGCACTCTGGGACACAAATAAAAAAAATTGTTCAAGTTTTGATGAAGAAAAAATACACGTTCTAAAATATTGACCAACATACGCCAATGATAGTTCACATCGGAAGGGTCGAAGTCAAACACGACTGAGAGGTTAAATTATTCAGTGAAGCTGTATCGACTGTAAAAAATAGAAGAAACTGAGGTGAACGATGGGAAACAGATTTCGATGAATGTCGGGTGATGTCTTCGTGGATGTATGAAGCCTGTGACGGAATGGACATCATTTTAGTCATTCCCGAAACTAAATTTGTTGACAACGATACCAAAAATGTCAAATTGTAAAAAAAACGTCAAAATTGTAAAAAAAAAACGTCAAAACGATACAAATTGTCAAGGGGAAAATTCTTGAAAATTTTAAAGTGAAAAATTTGAGTGATTCAGGTTGCAGTGAACATTTTTATTTTCAAAGTGAGCACCAAATTTCTCGAGATAAAGTTTTAATTTTGTATTATAATATTGAACTCTCAGTTCCGCTAATAATGAACTCGAATGCTGAACATCAAACAGTGAACGCTGAACATAACATTTCAGCTACTGCAACTGCGTCTACTTCGTATATTGAATGCAAGTACAGAACGTTGCCAAACACGCCATTCTATTGAAATCATACACGTTGCCTACGTAGACTCTGAGATCCTCCTCTCTAGGCGGTCGCTCACTCATGCTTATTCATGTCCCTAATATGGAAATAAGTCCTTTTAGAATGGCTGTGCTGCTTTCCGGTGCCTCATAATTAAGCGCGTCTTGTGTTTCATCGTATTTCTGAACTCTGAGGTAGAGCGAAAGCGATTTATTCGTGATTAAAACAGCGACGTGGTTAATGATATTTTGAAGCTGAATTATTGTTTTAATTAGAATTTTCCATATTAGGTTCAAATAGAGCGCAATTTTCTAGTGCTTCCATTAAATTTGTAATGAATTCTAATTGGAAATTTGAACAACATTTCCTTTACCTACCGGTACACGTATGTTCAGAGAATGATTTTTCGTATTCGTGTCAAAATGCGGATACGAAAATTTACGGCTAAATTCGTATATGTGCAATAAATTTTATCATAATACGTAGTCACTATAAAATGTAAATTATCTCATTTATTACCCACATCGGGTAACAAATTCCAACAATTAGCACAACCACGGATTAACCAAATTGTACAGACGTAAATATCTTATTCACATAAAAACAGATCGGTGGTAGAAATTTTTAATTCTTGCATCAAAGTGTCTCACAAGTGATCAAAATTATTTTTCGTGTTTCAAACGCCACAAGATTTACCATGAATGTTTTTGGTCCGTGTCATGTTCAGGGCAGAGAACTCCACCACAACCTGTCTGCCGGCATCCTCATGAGTCACCAGTCTCTGGTGCTGCAGAAACTGCGACGTAACTCAACCGGGGAGTACGTTTGCTCCGCCACCAACGTCATCGGAACCGGACGTTCCGAGCCCATCGTGCTCGTCGTGCAGTGTGAGAATAAATAACATAACAGTCCTATAACAATCCCATTACTGTTTTATTACTGTTCTATTACTATTCTCCTACTCTATTACTATTCAGTTACTATTCTATTACTATTCAATTATTATTCCATTACTATTCTATTACTACTCCATTACTATTCTACTATTCAATTACTATTCTATTACTATTCTATTAACATTCTAATACTGTTCTATTATTATTCTATTACTATGAGTAGAAATTCTCTAACAATTAGTAGGTTCATTATTCAATGAATCGGAATCATGGCACTAATACAAATTTTTTTTTTTTAATTTCATATATTCACCGGTTTCATCGCATAATTATGTAACCTAAATCCAGTTTTAAAATAGCCATGGATGTGTTTATAGTGAATATAATCACTATTTTATCAATACAATACAAAGAGTGTGAGGCAATAAACAGATATATTAATTCTGACACAAATCAAGTCGCTTCCAAGCATCGGTGCTATAAAATACGGTGATTTATTTTAACAAACTAATGATCTACACACAACGACTAACTTCCATTACCAGATATTTAAAATAGGATTTTAGAACAAATTTTTAAACTTTTAAAAATTAAAATTTCTAAAAGTATGCAATTAGACCCAGTTTATGTAATAGGGGGTTTATAGGGAACAATGGTCTGACGCCGCCATCACGTTGATCAAGCCAAGAACTTAACTTTTGTTTACGTCCAAACTCTGTCTGCTAATCCCTTTATGGACCAGACGTTGCGAGGTCCTAGTCGGGGATACAACCGATTGTCTGCTCAGAAAAATCTCAGATAAGATGCGAAGTTCTTGTAAAAATTTCCACAAAAATGTATCATGATATTCGAGTTGAGGTTTAGTTACATGTGTTGTAGAGAGAGTGAGGAACTTAGAATGAGGTTAGTACAAAAAAGCTACCGAAATGTATCCTCTCTTTATGAGTTCTTATAAAAAGTTGTCATGAATGGCTTAAAAGTCACAGTAAATTAGTTGAGTTGAAGTTAGAAGCGTAAAGCATGAAATTCAGGTCACCACGACCAAACCTGGCATGCATAATTTTATCCACGGGAATAATCCACAAATGTATTTTGTTGTTGAATTTTGGCCACGCGAATTTGTCTTTTGCATTACAAAATCTGGTTTAACATCAGCAATAAAACATTTGTATTTGACTGTTGCTATTGCTTATGTTTGGCTCTCGGCTAATTTTAACAGTGTTTGTACAAAATAGAGGAGGAATCTGTCGAATCTTCTGTACATTGACATTTGTGGTAGAAGCCACAACTGTTTGTCACGAAGAGAAGCGGCTTCTGTTTTTTAGACGCTATTAGCAATGTAATTTGAGGCTCCGAAATACGACAATATTTTTGTTCATAGTGTTCTTTTTTTATTATTGTATTAATGTTAAAGATCTCCAAAAAATGCATTTCTCAATAAAATTTAGGTTACTTCAAATTCATGAACCTTGAAATTCATTATCCAGTCCAGTGCAGTTCAATGAAGTCTTCTAATTTATTACCGGAAAGGTAAACCGTTCAAACAAAATAGGCAAGGCTTGCTTTTTAATTAACCAAATTAAGGTTTTTAAGAAGTTTGTGTCAATTGATTATTTTGTGAGAGAAAATTTATGTTTTGTGAATCATTAACTTTCATTATAACTTAAAAGGGTAATTAGTGGCAATAAATAATCAAAAATTCATTGCCCCATCATTTGGCTCGTATTTTAAACAAATAATTAAATTAAAAAATAATTCATCATATTATTATCCTGCCATCCGTCTTTTTTTGAACCTGTTATTCTGCTAAAGTGATATTCTCCTGCATCAAATGCAAGTGTGATTACATAAGACTCATTCCTAACTCTTTTGCTTGATCATAGGGTCCATGCATAACATTGGCCGACGTTTCATTATATTGGCCGATGATGAATAATATTGGACGATGATGCATAATTTTGGTCGTTGCATAATATTGGCCGATATTGCATACCATAACATTAACTTACATTGCACAATAATAGCCGATGCTTCACAATGTTGTCCTATGTTGCATAATTTCAGCGAAAGTTACATTCTATTTGCTGATGTTGCATACTATGGGCCGATGTTGCATAATATTGGCCGATATTGCATACCGTAATTGACTGCATAATATTAGCCGATACTTCACAATTCACCCCAACGTAGCATAATATTTGTCGCTGTCACTTCTCACAGACGCGCCCGTGTGTCGCCACGCTGAGTCAGACGTGCAGGTGGCAGGCAGGCTCGACAGTCTCAACGTCTCCTGTGACGTTGACGCGTTCCCTCCACCCACCTCGTTCAGGCGAGCGTTTCACTCCCTAATTTATTCATTATTTACTCACCCCATACTTGTTATTACGTTTTATTATATGACATATTAACCGGTAAGTGGGCATTTCACTCCCTAATTTATTCATTATTTACCCACCCCATACATCTTATTGCGTTTTATTATTTGACATGTTAACCGGTAAGTACGTATGTATCTCACTCCCTACCTTATTCATTATTTACTCACCCCACACATCTTATTACGTTTTATTATTTGATATATTAATCGGGAAGCAACGTTTGTGATATTTTCATAATTTGTTTAATATCATCCGAGCCGTGAGCGAGCATACGGTTAGCATTTATTTTGACTCCTCGTGTAAAAACCAGTATTTTTTTAATTATTCGCAATTATATATTGAAAGATATGCAACTTATGGACAAACCTAAGGACTACCACCGTAGTATATTAGCTATACTTTTTATTTGAATACTTTTGTATGTTGTCAGTTGTTCCTGCCCAAGAAGATTATGCATATTCATCGGGCCAAAAATTGCTAGATCGCATCTAAGCAATTAACTCTTCAACAATTTAATCATTTCACTATCGTCCTTCAATTATTTTTCTACCAAACTATGCGCGATTATGGACAGGTGCAAACTGTGTCGCAAATGAAAATCAAGTGCTAGAAACGTTTACTATTTCTTTTCTGTTCCAATTGAAACAGATCTTCTCGATAAAGTTGCAGTTAATGTTTGCATTAACAAACATTTACAAACGTCAAGTCGTGAATAAAAACTAACAAAGTTGACGCGACAAATAATGTGAACAATTACCAAACACACGGTCATATAAACAATAGACTACAAGACTGCACACAATAGACTACAAGACTACACATGATAGACTACAATAGACCAAGCGCAAGCAACACCTCGGCGACCGCGTCCATTTGTATAGACGGGAAAAAAATCACCCATTCCATTATTGCAAGCTATTCCATGGTCATTGGACCATAGTTCATCAGAAAATCCCACTAACATGTTCATGTTTGGTAAATTTTTTTTACCATATGCATAAATCTTCTACAAAGCAAACCTTCATTCAATCTTCGTGCAAGAAAGTACATATTCAGTGCCGAGCATGCTCCAGAAGCCAGCCATTTTGGATTCCCTAGTGTAATGATGGTTTTAAAACATTGCTAATAACCCAAACGGGGAAGCAGCTTCATCTCTTTCACTCATTCTCCCAGTAGTGATTAGGATAATGCGTTTTTTTTTCAAGTAAAAATTAACGCGCTGGTCCCAGAAAAATATCGAAGCATCGTCATTCACGACAGCAACGACGATCCCTGCAACACGGCCTATGTTTTGCAAAGATCTTGCCTCTTATTCGTCTTTAGTCTTGATGTGATGTGTCCCAGACATCGTTTGTTTCAATTTCGTCGTGCGCCGACAAGAATAGTCAAGTAAATCTCACTGGCATGCTGAGAGACAGCACATCTCCTCTGTCTTGCAACGTTCATTTTGTTTAGAGGACTACATTTTTCCGTATTTTTAGAGGATTGTATCCTACATAAAATCTATTTGATTGTAAAGCACGTATTTAGAAGTAAGAAATTTGAATGAAAGCTCACTTCTAATCTTAATGATTATGTGGTGCCTAGTGGCAACACTAGGGTCGCACATGATATCTCCGCTGTCGAAGACGTTTTCATAATAAATTGTGAAGTTGCTCGGGTAGGATGCATAACCTGTCGTAACCAGTCACGCCATTTAACTCCTAATGTATTCCTTTCATTAAATATTTCTCTGAACAAATATTACGTCTGTGTATAAGAACTGATATTATTTCAATTTTCATTTTTGTCTTATTGAATTTTCATTTATATTTATTTTCTTATTCAATTTATTATTTTATTTTATTATTTTATTATTTATTTATTTTATTTCTTATTCAATTTTCATATTTATTTCTCGCTGATTCTATATCATTATTAATATTTATTCAGAAATTCCCAGGTAAACTTACCTGGTCGATGCCACATCTGAGGTATGCTGGATCTCTAACGTTGTTATGTGGGGTGAATGTGATAATATTTCTCAGAGCAAAAATGCAAATATTGAAAAGATATTTACAAAATCATTATTTTCAGCAATTAGTTACCTTGTTTTAATTTCAGGTTGGGAATAAAAACACTGACAAACTAATGGTTTCTACCTTAATCACTTCAATTACTCACAATATGATTTTTTTACAAAAGACAGTTGTATTAAAATCGAGTTTATTCCTGGATCTTCACTAAAAACAACATAATCAGAAAATCATAACGTCAATTTTGAAAAAATCAATCGCTCACTTCAAAATTCAATCGCTCACTTGAAAATCAATCGCCCACTTGAAAAGTTAATCACTCACTTGAAAAGTCAATTGTTCACTTGAAAATTCAATCGCTCACTTGAAAAGTCAATCGCTCGCATAAAAAATCATTCGCTAACTTAAAAAATCAATTGCTCACTTAAAAAGTTAATCGCTCACTTAAAAAGTTAATCGCTCACTTGAAAATCAATCGCTCACTTGAAAAGTCAATCGCTCGCATAAAAAAAATCATTCGCTAACTTAAAAAATTAATTGCTCATTTGAAAAATCAATCGCTCACTTGAAAAATCAATCGCTCACTTGAAAAGTCAATCGCTCGCATAAAAAATCATTCGCTAACTTAAAAAATCAATTACTCACTTGAAAAATCAATCGCTCACTTGAAAAGTCAATCGCTCGCATAAAAAAATCATTCGCTAACTTAAAAAATCAATCGCTCACTTGAAAAGTCAACCGCTCACGTTGAAAGTCATCGCTCACATGAAACCTTGCCATGCACCGATCATGCATCACTCACGGTAACGATTAGAATTGTCGAGGTTATCGAATCAGAAAATTTAGTTTCCTAAGTGTCGACAGGTCTCAAAATTCTAAGCCATTATTCAGGCGAGCGAAATTAAGTCGTTGATTTCAATGTGATTAGCAGCAGCGCCACAGAGGCTAGCAGGCGCCACGACGACTGCCGAAGACTGGCCTCCAGCTCAGTGGTTAAAGCTTGTTTTGTTAGGATTTATTAAATATCGGCGAACTGGAACTCGGATTAAGATAAAAGAACATAGTAAAAAGCCTAAAAATATAAAATTGAATTTATGTGTCAAACATTTTATTCGAGCCACTCAAACTACAGGTCGCCAAGACACGTGGCTCGCTTGCCTGACTATTTTTATTCCAGACCAGAGAAAAGATTATATATGTACAAAATTATTTCAAAACTTTAAGGCTGGGAGAAATTTTTTGGTGAAACTTGTGGTGAGCATAGTTACAACAAAATGCTTTAGCAAGAAAAAGCAGTCATCCTATCTTATGTATTTTGTGTGTGTGAATTTTTTTAAGCCTGGCACCACATTTAAATAGGGGCTGTTTGGGCGCTTATCCAGGATTCTTACCTAGATGATATCTTATCTTATTTACTATGAGAAAAGTAATTTATTGCAAAATTAGGAGAAAGTGATCCCAAATTGATATTTGATTTTGAAATTGTTTCATTTAAATTTCATTTGAAATGAAGGAATTTTTCTCCTATTTTGAAACTAAAGTCAATGTAGAGTTTTTTCAATGTTTTATGTAAAATCTGGTACTTTCTTTACCTAGCACAAATTAGATCTATTATTATTGATGGAATGCGGGATAACTCGATTCTAAAATAACAGGGATTATTGAGCCCCGGCAAACCAGCTTTTATCTAATAAAAATTGCTCTAAACATAATTTCCAATTAATCAGGTTTTTCTCAAAACTCTCTCATGTAAATGAAAGAAGATAATTAATCATTGCCATAACTCATCATAGTTTTTCATATATTTATAAAATGCGATGAGTTCACTTATGCACTTTCAACAAATATCTTTTTGATAATAATGAACGTATATGATATAACGCAATGGAAACAAATATATTTGATCCCCATTTTTTGCCACCTCGTTGTGTATAAGAAGGCTTTATGGCTATGAATAAAATTAGAACAACCTTGGATTTAATTAATCTACTCCCCAATCCTATTTTAATTATTACAACACTTCTCTTTAACTTCTCTTCTTGTTTGTCTGTTAGTTTGTCTTTCTGTTACAAATCTTGTAATCGAAATTTAATAGACTTCGACTTATCCTATCGATCTGAAATTTTGCACACTTGCGTAAAGTTAGAGACAATGCATGGATCAAATGGCAAAATAAATAATTTTAGGAATACAAATTTTTTTCCAATATTAAAAAAACTGAAAAAATAATTTTGTCAGCTACAAATCTTATAATTGAAATGTGACACACTTTTACCTGTCCAATTGATATGAAATTTTGCACACTTGTGTGAAGTTGGAGGCAATGCATGAATCAATTGACAGAATAAACAATTTTGAAGAAAATGTTATATATTAAAAAATTGAAAATTTAATTTTTTTAATATTCGAAAATGAAATTAGAAATTCATTGAACATCTGTAACATTTGAAACACTGGATTCTTGAGAAGTGTTGTATTTAAAAAGTAATTTTTAAAGACAACACTTCTAAAGTCTGTCTGTCGGTCTGTCCGTCTGTCTGTCCGTCCGTGACCTCACGTTTTCGTCGACGAGAAAATGCGCTCTCATTAAAAAAAGTAATTTTTAAAGACGTATATTATTATATCAAGAATGTATAGATATAACCATATACTGAATGCAAATATATTTCGTTAAACTCTACTCACTCAATTACCTTGCAAATCTTCCCCTCTCCCTTGTATAAAAATCTCAATCCAGTTCAGGTGTCAACAGTCAAAATAAAACTTTATAATAACTTTACTCAATATTCTATATTGTTCCTTTTCTCCAAATAAATATTAATTTATTTATCTACTTGCCTCACTGACGACATGCTAAGCAAAGAACTGGATTAAATTGGCTGAAGACTAAGTGTTTCGCTGTAGAATTTCCATAATAGATTTGACGCGTACTTCAGCATGCGATATTTATGAAAGGAATAACGTACTGCATTGACACTCCTTGCACATTTGGACATGGTTCATTAGTTGCTGCTTTATTGACGATTATACCCGAGTGGTCGGGTTATAAGTTTTCATGTCATGCATTAGTTTCGTCTCTCGAATCGACGATTTTCAACTTTGGAGTGAATTAGTTAATAAATGTACTAACTAATATGTAGTTTGAGTAATTTTCGAATATATAACATGATTTAAAGGGAACGTCTTGGTTAAAAATCGAAAATTTTGGCTTTTCCGTTTTCTTGACACAATTTTCTAGCTGCTGAAAAGGCGCCTCTAATGCAGTACACCGCATGCATGTGCGTGCTCTAGCTTTTGCGTAAAGCAATTCAAAAAATGTATAAAATGAACGTTTTTAGCGCATTTTTAGCGACATTTAGCGACGGCCCGTCCGTCCGTCCGTCTGTCTGTCCGTCTGTCCGTGACTTCACGTTTTCGACGACGAGAAAATGCGCTCTCTGTCACTTACTGCAGTGAGTACTGAGTTATATTTTTTTAAATATGTTCAAAGATTTCTTTAAATGAAATCTGCATTTCATTTAAATCTGCATTTCATTCACTTTGCACTCGTTTGAAAGCTACAAGCAAGACGCGTTCAGCAAAGCTAATACCATGGATGTACATCGAATAATTTTTACGAAAGGCAGTTTTGAACTATTTACAAAATGACCATAAATGACACATTTTCATATAAAAATTGTATTTATTGATAATTATTTGCGTTCATTGCAAATTATTTGCACTCGTTTGAGAGCTTCAATCGATGCGCGTTCAAAAAAGCAAATATCACGGATTTCCATGTAATGTTTTTTTTTTGCATTAGGCCGTTTTGAATTTATATAAAATGAACATTTTTTATATATATAAATATCACAAAAGTCACATATATAGCTTATTATTCACGTTAAACTGGACAAGACTAAGTCTAAAGACGCCTACTGGTACCCTAAGTGCAACTAATTGGCAATGGGGAAGCTTGGGCTAAAATATCAAGCAATTTTTTTGGCATATCCTATTTTTAGCGCCTTTTCTCATTTATGAAAAAAGGCGCTATCTTGCTCGTCATGTCCGTCCGTCCGTCTGTCTGTCTGTCCGTCTGTCTGTCCGTCCGTGACCTCACGTTGTCGTCGACGAGAAAATGCGCTCTTTGTCCCTCACTGCAGTGAGTACTGAGTGAGCTTTTTTTAATAAATATTACTTATTTGGCTCCCCTAAACATTAAAGTTTTCAAAATGCGCCAGCTTAAGAATCTATCTCCAACTGTGATTTTCAAGTTACAGCATTGAGAGATATATCATTCGATTCATAAAAAATATCATGTGAATAGTTTTAGCTTATGTGTAATTTCGTTATGGTTTGGATAAAATTTTGCTAAAAGGGGGCAAAAATCGAAAAACTGACGAAAAATCACCCCTCACCCACAAAAAAAGTGATAAAAGCTAAGACGAATCGTTAGAAATTATTTTTGCGAATCGAAAGATGTGCATCTCAATGTTGCAGCACGTTAATTGAATTAGGAGATTTGAAAGGAATCCCTATTTTCCGTTTTCTAAGAATATCACGTTTCCTATTATTTAAATGGCATTATTTTAAAATTCACGCGTGCAAAAAGGCTTACATTTCTGTTTTACATAAGTGTACCAAGTTTCAAAACGATCCGTCCGTAAATAAAAAAGTTTTTTGAGGGATACGCTCCCCTTAATTACCACTCTATGTTTAGTTACTAAACTATGCTATGTTTAGTTACCAGGAATTTAAAAGCAAAGAAAACGAGCAAAGAAAAGAATCAATTAGATTCTAATTGATTCTGATTTTCTTATAGGTTTTGAACTTTTGAACTGACGATGGAGCTGGACTCCGAAACGTTTTCATTCTTAAGAAATGGTTAATATTCTGGCTGTTTTCTTTGCTTTTAAATTCCTGGTAAACTTGCGACTTAAGCAATCTAGTAATTTTTATGTTTAGTTACTAACTATTTAGTTAGTAACTTTAGTTACTAACTAAACATTATGTTCGATCACGTTCATTTTGATGATGACATTCATTTTAATGATTATGTTCTTTTAGATGATCACGTTCATTTTGACGATCACGTTCATTTTGATGATCACGTTCACTTTGCAATCTCTGCTCACTGAGCAGCGCTAGATTGCTTGTTATTCATAAGTCATTTACTGATCAATTCTGGTTTTTGCCTCATGTTGAGCGCCACAGCTGCCTTGATCAGATCTTGTTTATTTACGAAACCCGAGTCTCATTTCGACAGCAAGCTCCGTAATCAGTAGCGTCAAATTGTTGTTCTACGAATAATAAAGCTGAGTACAAATATCAGCTTGCAATCATGCATGCGTGCATTAATTTGAGTCGTGTGGACCGATATAACGAAAAGTTTTGAATTTCGAATTTCGAAAGGTTTCGAATTGCAAAATGTTTGAATTTCGATATGTTTCAAATCGCGAAAGGTTTCGAATTTCGAAACGTTTCAAATTTCGAAAGGCTAAAAATTTCGATAGGTTTCAAATTTCGACCGATATAACGAAAAGTTTTGAAATGAAAGGTTTCGATTTAATTCACTATTGATATCCTCGGCTTGAGCATCTGCATTCAAACAAACAACACTTAATGTAAGCGGAGGATGCGTTTAGTTACGCATATTAATTATTATTTTCGGTTTGCCTTATTTTCGGTTCTTATTTTCGGTTTGCCATTTCACATTAGTGACAATTTGAATAGAGTACTTTGCATCATCGGCGAGGTACTAATATATCTCGTAAAATATTAGATAACCAAAATTTTGGGCAAGAGATATCGTTAATCGCACTTTAGAAATCTTTGTTTTGACTGGACCTATTAACATCAGGCTCTTTCCAATTTCCGAGGAAGATAACCATTACATTAGATCTCAAAAACTCATTTGAGAAAATATTCTTCATAAATATATAAACAAATGACCCAACATCTACCCTATTCCCATTCAAAACCCCAAGCCTGAAACTAGACTTGAAAGTGGGCTTCAACTCGCTTAAGTTTTTCGATTAGAATTCGGGCATTTGTTTCCGCTACCACAGCCCGCTGCATTTCCAATCATTGCAATTCCCATACTTTTTCCAACCTTAAACCAAGCCCCTTGAAACATAGATTGCTGGTAGCCTCTGAAGAACGGAGATTTTGGATGATAGTGATTCCATAGTCAAATATTCTGAAGGATATTAGATCATCATTATGGTGGATAGCTTCTCAATTGGCAATTCTTCTGGACTATAGTTTCTCAATATTAAATTATTCTGGAGGATAGTTGCTTAGTTGTAAATAATTTTGGAGGATAATTGCTCAGTAAGTAAATTTTTTGGGGAATTGTTGATCAATTGTCAAATATTAATATTCTGTAGAAAGGCTGCCCAAAAGTTGATCGATGAATACTGTGACTAGATGGCTAGAGCTGTTTGATTGATGAAGACTGTGACTAGATGGCTAGAGCTGTTTGATTGATGAAGACTGTGACTAGATTGCTAGAACTGTTTGATGAAGACTGTGACTAGATGGCCAGAGCTGTTTGATTGATGAAGACGGCGACTAGATGGCTAGAGCTGTTTGATTGATGAAGACTGTGACTAGATGGCTAGACCTGTTTGACGAAGACTGTGACTAGATGGCCAGAGGTGTTTGATTGATGAAGACTGTGACTAGATGGCTAGAGCTGGTTGATCGATGAAGACTGTGACTAGATGGCTAGAGCTGTTTGATTGATGAAGACTGTGACTAGATGGTTAGAGCTGTTTGATGAAGACTGTGACTAGATGGCTGGAGCTGTTTGATTGATGAAGACTGTTACTAGATGGTTAGAGCTGTTTGATTGATGAAGACGGTGTCTTGAATGCCAGAGCTGTTTGATCGATGAAGACTGTCTGGATGGTGGTGCTGTTTGACCGATGAAGACTGTCTTGATGGCCATAGTTGCTCGAGCAATGAAGGTTCCCCCAAACAAATGACGTTGAAACAATGTTTAATCGACGTTATTCCAACGTCAAAGGCTTTCTAGAGCTGGATCTTGATGGCCATGCACTGTCCGAGCTTTGCAGTCCATTTTGTTTCACCGAATCTGTTAACGTTCCAAACCAGCTTGCCAATATCGCTCTAACGTCAACTACCGAGTAGTGAATTATTTACGGGCATTTCCTAACTAAAATCGATGGCAGAATGGAACCGAAGATTAGATCTCTCTCTTTCTCACGCAAGCAGATGGTCTTGAAGTCTCTCGATGACAGAATTAATTTTCCATCTGGTCGACGTTGCGAACATAAAATTGCAAAAATCTCATCCATTCAGTTCTGTGACTATAGTGTCTGATCAAAGACCTTCTTTCCATACATTCGGGTGTTGTACCTTTGTCTAATGACGGTAACTCATGCATGCTTTTTATATAAGCGTAGCACTAATGATGATTAAAGCGTCTATAAGCAAAAGATTAACCCTTTTTTGAAGGTTTTACAAATTATCTAGATTTTGATACGATTAACATTGATGGCGGCTTACGTAACCTTATGTCAGTCACCAAAACGTTCATGTGATCAAATGTGTTGTGCAAAACTTAAGTGAAATATTTATTATTTTTATAGATGGGCGTTTAATACAACCACTGAAGTCGTAAGCATCGATTCGGGGAAGATGGAGGCGGTGGGAGGGGACTTGCGTAATGTTCTTTACACGCCGCGCTCCAAAGTGGATTTTGGTTCCCTGCTATGCTGGGCCTCCAACATCGTTGGCGAGCAGCGAACGCCTTGCGTCTTCCACGTCGTGCATTCTTGTAAGTATTTACGGCCTATTTTGACGTCATTTGTGAGTCTCCATAACGTCTCTTGCAAGCAGATTAATTTTATATGATGATTTGTTCCTCGAAATTTTTACACATTGGTAAATTTTACATTCATGTCTTCTCACAGCCTTTTTTTAATTCCCTTGTCAGCTCCTCCAGACCCAGTGCAGAACTGCACTCTGTCTGACGTTGGCCGAACGTCAGCTACGGTGCGCTGCCAGACGGGCTGGGATGGCGGACTGCCACAAACTTTCACGCTTTCCGTAAGCCAGGACGCTCTCTCAGTGCCTGCAAGTTCCGCGAACAACTCTAACGGGACATCACCGCGCGTTCTAGCGAACACTTCGAGCTCACCTAAGGCAGAGTTTACGGTCACGGGACTGAACCCTGGTCAGGCTTACGTGTTAACGATTGCTGCAGTGAATGCGAGGGGTCATAGTGCACCCTTGAGGGTCGCGCTAGAGACGCTCGAGGACAAGGCGCAAGAACGGACCAGTCCGGGAGGTGAGATTTTCATAATAAATGTCTGAGTTTTTCATATGTATAATTTGATTACACTATTCCCGGGGGGTGAGATTTTTCTAATAAATATTTCATTATTTCCGATGTATAATTTGATTACATAACTTTATTAACTCACTTACATTATGAGAATGACACTTCTGCTACAGTTTTTTTAGGAGGAAGGAAACGTAGTCGACATAACGGACCAAGGTAAAATCCTTGCCTAAATCATGGATTACAAATAAAGAGGAATATAAAAACATATATATTAATAATGCAGAGCACACGAGTACCAAAGGCGCTGTCTATACTAAATTTCTAATTTAAAATATTGAATGACTCTGGGATCCTGAATTCTAAAGCACCGAGAGTTGCCGTTTAAATTTCAAAATCGCTTCCAAACATCGGAACGTACCACCGTTCGACGTGAAAGCAGACAGTCCAGCTGAAGGATCTGGTCTCTGAAACATATTTGCAATAATATAATAGATAATATGATGCCTAAAAATATAAAATTATATTCTTTATCTCTTCTTTGCTCGTGAATTCTATAGCAAATAAAATTGTGTTTTCTTAGTTTCATCGTCAGTTTGTTATCGACGTTTTCTGCATGAATAATTTTATTGGAATATTATCTTTTAAAATTTAGTTTCTTGAATTTGAATCTTTTAATTTATTAATTCCAGCCAGTTCCTATTCTGTAAGTTTTCCTTAGCTTATTTCTGTAATAAAAGACGTAAAATAATTGAACTCTTTGATTGGTAACTAGAAAAAGTTATAACATCTTTAATATTCGTAATACTCGTTTATAGGCCAGAAATAACTGTATCAAATACTGAAATCAATAACGAATTAAAAAAGTTGCAACATGTACAAAAATTCCAAGTACACGAAGGAACCTCACAGAATCTCATGTCATTATTCTATAGTAGTGATGTTCTTTAGAATATTCCTTCAATTGTAAAATATTTTATTGGAGTATATTTCTTTTAATTAAATATAAACACAATACGGTCTTCTGATGCCAACTCTGTTACCAAGAGCAGTCCACTTGTTTCAAATAAAAATACTCATCGCCATTCAAGGACACGCAGGCCTAATTTACAATTTTTCACCCTACGATTTCAGTGGCCCAGAAAGACAAAAATCGTCTGCCCATTGGACCTATAATTGCTGTCATGATCGGAGCCCTGGCTTCTCTCACACTGTCGTGTGTGGTGATCGTGCTGGTTATCAGAGCACGACGTTCTTCAGCACGACCAAAAAAATGCACAAAAGCCCACGACGATCGTGATGTTGGTGATGCTCAGTCCAATCAAATGGAGGCTTCCTTTACAACCTTCCTGGATACCGGTGGTTCGAGTCCTGATCTCATCCCATACTGCAGCGGTGAGATCTTGAAGATGAATTCTGAGATTTCTTAAAATTTAAATTAATATTCATATAACTTATAATAACTTCTAATCGTTGAATTATTCATGTATCTTTGTTTCGTATATTGGAACTTACTTCTGTATCACGTGGCTATGTAAATATGTCAATTTTATTAAATATTATATTATGCTATCAATACTATATGGCAGAGGTGTTTTTCAAAAGCTTCTATAGTTACACAACTTTATACATGATACTTAATTACTTCATTTTTCTTCAACCTTTGACTGTGATAAACACGTCTAGCAAATAAACTTCCGCATGATAACTATTCCGTAAAAATTGCACGCTTAAAAAATTTGTTTCCATTTTGTTGTACTTCATTGAGAGAAACGAATGCCGGATAAATAATATTTACTTGAGACATAACCAGATGCATGAGAATAACTCGTGTTTCCTTACCCCAACGTTAATTGTAATCATAAATAAATGTGAACAGAGAACCCACTTCAACTTCCCATTCTTATTTGTGGTGATAACGAGATGCATTCAGAAGGGCACACAGAATCATTTTTATATCATGATCATTGGGGCCGTGATATAATGCCATCAAATAGCTCTGATACACATTTGTGTACCGTCAATCATAGCATTACGGTGATACACACAAATATCTCTCTGCCCAAATATGTAAAAAAATTTCTTAACAACCGTATAAATATTTACATTTACTGTCAAATATCTCTGCTACATTTCACAGAGGCCATTACGGTGAAGGCGATGCCAGCTGGCGGCAACTTAACTTTCAATCAACTGTCATTAATGGACTCTACGGGCCGCGGTGCGGATGGGAGAGATGTGCCGGGGCGTGCAGGCAGAAATGCCCTCGCCGGCGCTGGTCCGGAAATGACGTCCGCGGTGCTGCACCGAACAGCTTCCCTACCGCGATCGGTGAGGGCGGAATGCATTCGATATGCGTGGCGAGGGGAAAATTTATATTAAAATCCTGTATTGAAAGTTAATAATTAATTAATCTAACTAATTATTATATATGAATTAATTATTATATTAAATAATTAATTAATTTAATTGAAGATAAGGTGGGTTTAAATACAGAGTGAGATTAGTCAGGTGCGTTCAGATGGGTCATGATTGTTTCTTAGGTTAAGGCGCTACAAAAACATGAAAGTAACGTTGTAATATAGCGGATGCTTTGAGTGAAGCTGTTTCTTTAGGAATCTCCATAAAGTAAGGAAATACATCATTCTTTGAATTAATTTATGATTAGTGCATCGTGTTTGTAGCAATAAACTATAGTAGTTGAACTACAACGTTTTGCCAGAAGATCTCGATCCTTCTAACACATGGCAATGCGTATCGTTCACCAACGTAATGATTTAGCCAGCACCTATACAATTATTAGATCATGGCTGAGATAATTATACGAAATTACGAAAAAATTCTAATAAATTCACGGGTTATAATAAAATGATATTCTAAATGTGACAAAAAAATTAAACTCGCACGAATGCCACACGGAAATAATTTTTATTATGAAAACCTTCTGCCCGTCAGAGCCTGAACAAAACTCATCGCGAGCGTTTCTACCAACTGCCTCTCGACCACGACTTCTCGCCCCTTGTTTGCAACACCAAAACACATGCCAGCCTCCACAGCCTGCACCGCCTCGACGGGACCATCACCTACATGTCGCCCCTAAAATTACCTAAAGTAATTCCAACAAGCGAAACGGGAAGTTCATTTCCGTCTGTATCGATGCATGCAGGAGGTTGCATGTCCCGAGCATCCGCTCATCAAATGAGCAGAGGTGGCGAGTCGGGTAATGGAACAGTCGAAAAAACGACGAGGGATTCGAATTTCGCTCCACGAAATTCACGACAACCAATGCGCCACCTTCATCAACACATCATGCGTCCACCGATGCATAGAAATGCTAATAAAGATTCGTATGACATGAGAGCCAGTAACTTAGGTTCTCCGACCCCAGATGAAACATCTTGTATTTCATATTCTCCTTCTCCCTCTTCCACGACTTCGAGCGAGTGCACCGTGAGACCTGAAAGCGTACGAATCGATAGAACGTTGCCAAGGCGCATGGATAGTAATTTCCTTTCCATCAGAGTGGGGAGCCCCAATAACGAAGGCTCACAAGTGCATCAAATCTTACGACTGCATCCCAATTCTGGCTATGCATCTGACGTTGTGCAAATTCCCTCGAATCAACAAGTCGAACAATCAGCTTTCCCAGGATCCCCTCTGTCTTGCCATCCGTCCATTGCACCACAAAAAGAAACTTTTGACTGCGCTGATGGAGCATGCTCACAAAATGAAACATTCTGCTCACCTCCTCCGATGTTTTCAAACTCTTGCAATACACTGGAGAGCTCGCAACCATTGACGGAAGCTAGCAAAAGAGGGAAAGCTGTGGAGGGATCTTCTATCTTGACCAGATATGACAAGAAAGAACAATCCTCGGATCATCTAGTCAGCACTTGAAAAATTCAGCAATGTTTTCGAAAGTTTTTTAGTTTGTCTATTGCTGTTCGTGAAAAATATCGGTCCCTGCAAGTGCTGAGTTTTTCACAATTTTGCTCAATGATTTATTACATGTTTTGGGAAAGCTTTCCTCTGAACTTTCAACTTTGGTGAGCTGTCAATTCGGGAACTCCGTCTCCGAGTGCTTTATTATTTTAATGATTTTCTTAGCCAAGATCTTTTCGTTTCCCGACTACCCAGATAATAAAAGACATTTAAAAGAAGCCAAAAATGACGGTTGGATTTGAAGAGAAATTTTCAGCTCCTATTTCTGGTTTTCGTGTCCTGTTGAACTTGCGGTCAAACTTCCTCGCTCAATCATTTGCTTTGACGGTCCTGGCTACAATTCCTTAAAATGCTTTTCTGATCTTGCTTTGTGGACCCATCACTCTTTAGCCACTCTTCCATGCGTGTTATCTTTCGTTCAGAATATTTTGGTTCTACGTTTTGGGAGATTTTTAACGCTATAAAATCGTTAAATATTCGATTTCTCATCTATTTATTTAACAGCAAAATTCTATAAATAAAATTAGAGCACAAACCAGCATCAAATGACCAATAACTCGGAGCCAGTGGTTCCGTCATTACAATTTTAATTAAGGGGCTTATGGTTCATTGCTTGTTGTTTAAATTGGGTCGCTTTAATTCCCGCTTTGGATTATCAGTTGCCACTTTTAAAGTTCGAACACCAAATGCCTCATTTTCGATTCCCTGTTGTAGCTGCGACTAGAAAAATTTTTTCTCTCCTCTCAGAATCATTCTGAATATTTTATGGAGACACCGCATTTTCGCCGGTAGAATACCATTTTTATCTACTTAAAACCATTTTGACTTGTCCAAGCTCTGGAAATGCGAAAGTGCGCTATTACTCTCGAAATTTATTCGGCTTTAGGAGACGGTTTTCACTTCAGTGGAATTTTTCTCTGCGTTCATAAAGTTTAAAATCAACTCTACTGCAATGTGACAGCACCCATGTTGTCGTACATTTTTCAATTGAGGCCAGAGTGAAATCGAATCACATTTGTCAAAAATTCCTGCCCGTGGTTACAATAATAATAGCAGTTTCAGCGTTTATTGCGCCGTAGGACTGTCGCCAATTTTTAACATCACAGAATATTTACAGCTTGTTGCGATCTCAAACACGCAACTCACTGCTTCACACTTTTACTTAACTTAACGGCCCGACCTCATCGCCGATTCTGACCAGAAACTGGCGCACAGAGCCGGGATCGAACCCGCACCTCTCCAATCCTATAACTCTGGGCCTATATACTTTCAAAAAAAGTTAAGAGATCGTAAGTTCATCCGCCAATCATTGACGGCCTTTCAAGCAAAATCCACCAATCATAGACAAGAAAATAGAGCGTAAGTACTTACGTTCACTTAGCGAGTTTTGAAAGTATGGCCCCTGCTCTGTAAGCACTGGGCCACAGCTTGGGGAGTTACAGGAGATGCTATCTTGTTATTTATATTCAATTGACCGCAATGTTTTTTGTCGTTCCTGAGTATTGTGATTATTGTGATAATCTAGTGTTATTTTTTAACACGCCCAGTTTCGTGTGACTCCCTAATTTGAGCTCATAACTGTAATAGTAATACATAATTTGAGCTCATAACTGTAATAGTAATACATAATTTGAGCTCATAACGGTTATAGTAATACATGTGAGGTTATACGGCTGTTGTTCTGATCAGGAACGTTGCTGTATAACATTCAGCATATTTTTAACATTAAATGTATCATAGCAGCGTAATAATAATTGCGCATGCGTCGTTTTTAATAAGCTCTTTCGAAGAGAGAACGCTGCCATACGAAACGAAATATTTGACAGTGGATGTAGATATCTAATTTAAATGATCCTAAGTTTCTTGCATGATTCATGAAAATGTATTGATGTTTATCGTTTGTCTAATATAAATAAATTTAAAAAATTTTTCGTTAAAATGCATACAGAGAATAAATAAGAATTTTATACATTTGTCGGAATGTACGAAAATAAATGTTCAACAATTAATTCGGATAATTACTCTTCCTATTTTTAACAGAATCGAAACATTTCATTGTATTTACGGCCTTTACGTTGATTGGATTCACTATATATCTCAGAAAACATGTATTTCATGCTAGGGTGCTAATGATGGGTCAGCCGCCAAAGCACAGTTTCTTGAGACACAACAACAAAAAACTTACATTTTGTGGCCACTGTTTGATTCTTTTATTTAAAGTCTAGTTTTTTATAAAGATTTCTATTCCACGTTGTTCTCTTTCAACTTAAGGTCCAACTCCCTCGTGGCATTTTCCCCAAAACTTTTGACGAAGTTGCAGGGGTTGACACACCAAACCTCATTAGCGCCAGAGATAAGGTCTCACCACGAGTTTGCTTTTAATAAATTGGATGTTCGGCACGGAAAAAACAGCTCTCGGGGGTTGTCAGTTTGCAGTTATTTTACGTCTGTTACAATTAGTTTGTCATGGGTCATGAGGTCTAAGGCCCCTGGGTGGTCAAGTAAACCTTGAATAATTAAACTTTGAGTGTAAACTTAATAGCGTAATTTTACTTTCAAACACAAAAATTTACAGAATTTCACGCTAATTTATGTTGAACGCTAAATTTGTTTGTATCTGCAGTCGTTTGTTGTGAAGTTAGATCTTGTTATGCATCACAGCAAGCCCGATTAAAATAGCATTGCATTTAATTCAAGTCGTTTCTTGTGGTGCCTTCAAGGTTCCATTTAATTGCAAAGACTTTATCGTTAATTTGGCGCTGAGCTCTCACATATCGCGCCGCTGTGCTCGATCCGCCGCCGCAGGAATTTCAGTCCGATTAAAACTCCGCAAATTTCCGAGGTGAAATATGACCAGCCAGACAACGAAAGCTGACCAGAAATTGCGCCTTCCCTGAAAAATGCCCGCGGTTGACTGCCTGGAATGTGATGCAAAGCTTGCTAGTAAGTCGTCCCGGAAAACATTTAACCTGTATTTTTCAAGATTGAGGGTCACTGTTTATTGCTTGAACTTCTGTTAGAAAAATTAAATGTATTGAAATCGCAATATTATTATAGTTTTTCAGAAAAATTTTGCCAGGCATTGATTTCGAACACGAAACAATTTAAATTTCAACCTCAACAAAAACTTTTATACGATTTGCAAATAGAAAATTTATCATTGAATTTAATTTAATTTAACCGAGTTGGTGTTGTGAGTTATTTTTGGAACATATTGCTGACTCACCATGGATTTAACGTATTTATTCTGTTATTTCGGTTATTTGTGGCTGTTCACTAACCTGGCGCAGCTATTTTTCATCTCAACACTATTATTTAAATCGGTACTGCCATACGGGCAATTCTACTGCCTAGTAAGGCTGTCATTTGACATGAAAAATTCATTTATGTCTGCTGTTATTGTGGTAAAACATTCTTGCATAATTTAGCTATATATTGTTTCAGGTAAATCAATTCGCTGCATTTATTTTGTGTATTTATATGCAAATTATATACAAATTATATGCAAATTAATATGCAAATTAGTGCGCTCTGCTTCAAGCTTTTCAATGCTAAATTTTGTGATGCCACCGCCGTGCTGCCGTAAACGATATCACGTTAACGTCATGATGTAGCGTTAACGACGTAACGTTAACGTCGTGATGACGTAAACGACATCGTGTCACCGTCGTGACGCCGTAAACAACGTTGTTGTGACCGCCACAAAATGGTAGAATCGCATTAAAGTCGTGATGCTGTAAACAACATCATGTCAACGTCGTGATGCCGTAAGCGACGTCGCGTCGTTTGCCGTAAATAACAGAGACGACTCATGAGCAGCCGTTGTAGGGCTAACGAAGACTGGGCCTGATTTTACTAAAAAAAATTTCGATTTTGTAATTACAAGCGCCGACGTTGCCGACGAACGACAGTGTCTCCTATAGCAGGGTAATTGAATTGCATCTCTGCAAGAATTCAACTTCGAAGTCCCTGAAATATGTGGCACAAAATTTAGGCCTAAAGTTAGGCCAGGAAAATGTGACGTCGTGCGCCTCATGGCGAGCAGGGAGACTGCTGGCATGGAGGACAGGCGAGTATGATCTGGGCAGGCGATTGCAGGTTGGGATGGAGGACAGGCGAGGATGGTTATGGCAGGCGACCGCAGGCTGGCATGGAGGACAGGCGAGGATGGTTATGGCAGGCGACCGCAGGCTGGCATGGAGGACAGGCGAGGATGATCTGGGCAGGCGACCGCAGGCTGGCATGGAGGACAGGCGAGGATGGTTCTGGCAGGCGATCGCAGGCTGGCATGGAGGACAGGCGAGGATGGTTATGGCAGGCGATCGCAGGCTGGCATGGAGGACAGGCGAGGATGATCTGGGCAGGCGATCGCAGGCTGGCATGGAGGACAGGCGAGGATGGTTATGGCAGGCGATCGCAGGCTGGCATGGAGGACAGGCGAGGATGTTTATGGCAGGCGACAGCAGGCTGGCATGGAGGACAGGCGAGGATGATCTGGGGAGACGATCGCAGGCTGCATAGACTATTCTAATCATGTCATGAATTACAATATTTTATATTTTTAACCTAAATGAATCTAAAAGGCGTTCTCCCATTTTTAATTTTTTTTCGAACTTCAATAAAGCCTAAAATTAATGTAGTATTATTGGTAACAAAACTCAATTAGGACTTCCCTTGCTGCCCAACATTCGAATGTGAATTTTACGCAAAGGTTTTGAAAAGCATTATTTTTATTCATAAATTAAAACAATAATGTTCAACTCATACATGTTCTATATATTAAAAATTTAATCAAGAGATATTTGAAAACGGGGAGTTTTTATCAATGTGATTGAAAGAAAAGTTTAGCTCTACATTGGTAATAATTCAATGAATGATAATTAGAAAGGCAAAATTTATATATTTTAACTTAACATTTGCCAGCATCCTACGTGACTCAAATTAGAAGCATTCGAGGCATGATTTTAATTTTCAAACCGAATTAGCAGCGATACTGTTGAAATTATCAAACATATGTAGAATGATTTCCCGTAATTTGTTCTTCAAAATTTCTGTAGGCAATTCGTTGTTATGTTTTATACTCATGAGAATAAATTATTCAGTTAGATTTCGCATGGCTAAACATTATACAGGTCAGTTATAGACTTATATAATAGTATATATTAGATAAATAAAGTTCAGCGAAAATGATATATATTTAAGTTTCATTGAGATAAAAATAAAGTAGAGGTAAAGGTACAAGTAAAAAACATTGACGTGACGATTGCTTCGTCTTGCACAGACCAGGATGCTGGAGTTGAAAAGGAGAATAAAATGTTATATCTACATAGAAAATGTGCTGATAAAATGAATTGAATTATAACCATCAGTTGAGTGAATTTATCAACATTGAATATATATTTTGTTTCTTTGATTAGCCATCCTAGAAGGTTGTGATGAGCAGAAAAATGAACTGCAAAATCGTCATGTTGTGAAATTGTGAGAAAGCTTCATGTTATGAATTGTGTGCCCCTGTTGAGGATTTCTCTGAGCTGTTAACAGCGAATTAATTAAGAATATTACGATCGTGAATTTTTCCTCACATCTTCGTCTAAAAAGAGCCTCCAGACAGACGCGCCAAAACCTAGACAAATGTCTTCTTTTTGGAATACTTCGCGAGAGAGCAAAATTTCATTCTACCAGAATCATCAACAAAAGAAACTAAAAATGTTTTCCTACAAAATTCAATCTGAGTCTAAAATTCTCCATCGCACCTCTGATAGTTTTGGACAAACTTCCTGAAGTAATTTCGACACGTACTCTTTTATTTTGATTGTCAGTCCAACTGCTGGAAATATGCGGAACTAAAAAAGTGTATCAAAGTCAGACGTGGATGAAGTTAAGATGGTCAACGTGTTTGATATATATGAGTCTGATAATATTGTTTGACTGATAAATCAGACTCAGACTTAGTTTGATTATAAGATGTTTAGTGAAGAATGAGCCATGACGCGAAATTTTCAGAAGCACATCCAAAAAAAATATAACTTAGTACTTATTGCAGTGAGTGACAGAGAGCGCATTTTCTCGTCGACGAAAATATGAAGTCACGGACGGACAGATAGACGGACAGACGGACGGACAGACGGACATGGCGAGCACAATAGTGCCTTTTTGTCACAAATGAGAAAATGCGCTAAAAAGGACTCACGTGAAATATATTTTCTTCTTTTGGCTTCGTTTCGTAAGTTTTCACACCAATATTATCAAAATCCTCATCATTGCATTCCAGCAGGTATATGACCTCTTTTTATGGACCAAGCATTTG